CCTTATAAGCACTTCGGTCCTTTGGGTAGCGATGGAAAGAGTGACGGAAACGAAGGGATTGCTGCCCCAACCCCTAGCTTGGCACCTGCCCCTGTCACGCCTTTGACACATCTTGTGCAACAACAACAGAGTCCTGCTCCTCCATGGATCAGTGACTTGCTTGAGTCTATGTCTGCACTGCATCAGAAGCAAGATCGTACTCATGTCGATGTCCTTGATTTCGGGAATGAGCTGAAGAGCCACGACTTGCGATTAGGGACACTTGAAGGCGGTATGAAAGAACATACTTCACTGCATGAAGCCACCAAAGCTCGACTTGATAATCTTGAACAACAGGTCCGGGACCTCCAACAAAGACCCTCGAGATCGCCTACTCCAACTCGCGGACTCGGCACACCCAAACGTACCATGCCTGTTGGTAACATGCCCCGATCACCACGTTCACCACACTTTGCTCGTGAAGAACCTGAAGTTGATGATCTGCAGGTTATTGTAGGTGGCTGGACAGACGCGAGAAAAAGTGAGGCTTTTGAAGAGGTCAAGCATATGTTGTCGCGAGTAGGCCATGCGAACTGCTGGAATGACCTGTGGGCCCCCTCAGCAAGGACTAATTTTGTCAGAATCTCGCTTGCTTTCCCTGACCCAGATGCCCATATCACGGTACTTCGACATTACCAGAACTCCTTAATTCAAGCCCTCAAAGCGAAGGTCTTCAAGAGTGGTATTGAAGGACAATCTGAGTGCAAGCTGTGGGCAACCAAAAACAAAACGCCTGAGGAGAGAGCCAGAGTGCGAGCATGTGTGCTGACGAAAGTCTTCTTTCAATCCCTGCCTGATTATCAGAACATCAAAGTTCCTGAACCTGAGATCATTTGGCAGGGCAGAGTCTTTTTGAACAACGTACAAGTACTTTTCCACATTGATAAAAAGGACTCGGTTGCAGGGGATTGCTTCTTGCCTGACCATCGTGGCAATCACATGGAGTGGTTTGTCGGAGCAGCTGCTTTTGCCGCAGCCACAGGACGCCCTGCGGACTCGCTGCAAGACTGCTTCAGCCAGTATGGGGGCAATACTATCCGCTCGTGACAAACCCCCAAAAAGGAGATGTTTCACGGAGCAAGCTGGAACATTCAAGGCAAGTCCCTTAAAGATTTGGAGACTTGCTGGGATCAACTCAACCTTGAAGGTCTTGATGTTCTTGGAATTCAAGAACTGGGAGGTTTCTCTTCCCAAGCTGAGGAATGGAAACTGCATGAAGCCAAACTTGATGGCTGGTGGGGCTTTTATGTGACCAACACCCCCAAAACCCATCATTCCATTGCCCTTGGCCTCCCTTCCCGACTGCTGTCCTTTGTATCTGAAGTCCGAGTTTTGTCTGTTGGACTTGGGGTAATTGTAAAGCGCGACTCCACCAAGTACTTTTATGTTGTCCTCCACCTACCCCATGGACAACGAGATGACTGCCTCGAAATGTGGCAGAAAACACAACATGAATTAGATGAATTCTTGCATGCTCGACGTCTGCATGACACAGTTGTTATTTGCATTGACTCTAATTATGAATTAGGTGCACCCGAAAGGACGATGGATGCAAATGCGTGTGACGAGCGAGGAGCCCTTAGTAATCTTTTGCTTAGGTCCCATGGTCTTGAGTTTTGGCCCCCCGATACCTATACTTGGTCTAATACCCGTGGCTCTCATTCCAAAATTGACTATGTTCTGTCGTCCCAGCCACTAATTCAAGAGAGCTATTTCAGAGTAATTCAACATTCTGATGCTTTGATTGGATCGGATCACAGAGCTGTATTGCTCACTCAGTCTCTTCAAGTTCAGCCTAGGCAACGGTCGGCCAAGCCGGACCGTCACCGAAGTGGTAAGTGGGTGGTGGATCCAATCAAAGCCACGGAATCCTGCAACGCTCTTGCAGAGACACTCGACCTCCAAATGCAAGACCTCTCCATGGCATCCCTGAAGTCTGCGTGCAGTCGATGCTCCTTCCGGGGCTCCTCGTGTCGTTATAAGGATCCCCCTGAGATCCGTGCTCTAATTAGTGAACGACGCAGACTTCAAGGATCAGCAGCGAGAGAAGTGGGAAAGCAGATCGTTCAGCTTCGAGCTATTGCTAAACAAAAATGGCATAGCGACCTACTTGACAGGGGTGCTCAGGGCGATTACAAGGTCATATCTTACTTTAAAAGGCGCCAGTCGTCCCTAATTAATCATTGCAACTTCCTCACTCGTGCCGGTGGTAGGACTAAGGCGATATGTGATCTGAAACACTTTTATAAAATCAAGTTCACTCCACCTGATCCCAGACCCAAATCCATGGCCCTTGTTGAGTGGCAACACCAAACTGGCCCGCTTCTTGCCCCACGGCTCTTTACTCCTGAGGAGATTACAGGGATTCTTGAAACATGCAAAAGGGGGAAATCCTGTGGTGCTGATGGAATTAGCTACGAATTCCTCCAGATCGCCATGCAATCTGACCTTCGGGATCACATTGTTGAGTACTTTAACTGTCTCCTCTTAGGCACTTCCCCTGTCCCAACTGACTGGCTGACCTCGAGACTCACCTTTATACCTAAGGTTCCTTCTCCTATGGCTCCTAAGGATCTACGTCCTATTGTTCTGTCATCGGTCCCTAGTAAAATCTTCACTAAACTTTTACTGTTTCGACTACGTGCGCATTTTCCTGCGATGCGAGCTAGTCAATTGAGTAGTGTTCCAGGGGCCCAAACTCTTGAAGGTTCCTGTGCCCTGCAACAGTGTATCCGGCTTTCTAATGAATACCACTTGCCTTTAGTCATTGCGAAATTAGATATAGCAAGCGCCTTTGACCATTTAGACCACCTTGCCATTTCTAAATTCTTCCAAACTCTTGGGCCTCATCGTGAGGCTGAACTCCTTTTGTACATAATAACTTACTCCTCCGTTATTCTTAGCATGGCAGACTTTAGCTGGTCTCAAAATGTTGATAGGGGTATACTTCAAGGATCTTCCTACAGTGCTGAAGTTTTTGCTAGAACGGTTGACCACTACCTTGGTTTCGTCGTTGAATCTTGGCACTCCAATGAGACTACTTGGCTCACTACTGAGAATGGATTGAAGTTGTTTCACATCCTCTTTGCCGATGACTTGGTTCTGCTGGCTAAGAGTTTTGATCAACTACAGCGTATGCTCATCCAGGTCAGAGACTGTCTTGCCGCAATTGGCCTCACTTTGTCTCTTGAAAAGTGTCAGGTTATGTCTGCCCCTTTCGTTCAACTTCAGTCCATCAGCATTGACGGTACGACACTCAAACATGTCAGCGTCTTCAAATTTTTAGGGGTCCTTGTAGGCTTTAAAATTCACTGTCAGGCGGTCCTTAGCGCTCGTCTCGCTATGACTACTAACACCTTTTGGGCACACTTTAAATTACTGAAAAGACCGGCCGGAACAATTCGTAAAAAATTGCATCTCCTTAATTCATACGTCACAAGCAAATGGCGGTGGATGTCTGCATGTGTTCGACCAATTCAGGCAGTCCGAAACACCCTGAAGACTCTCCACACTTCCTTCTTAGGTAGCCTCTGTAAATATACCTCGGATCCCTTCACACCAGTGGCTTTTAATTGGGTCGTCCGCAGACGTGCATCACGCATGACTGCACAAGTTCTACAGCACTGCCGATGGGAGGGACTGCATGCTCAATCTTTCTGGCGTTTCTGGGGACATGCAGCTCGCATCCCCACTGAAAGGAACTCACCCTTAAGTTTGGTGTTGGGGGTTCGTAATGAGGAATGGCTTGCCTCGTATGGCCATATCAAGAAACGGTGCCTCGGCTTCTGGCCGAATGCTGCACGATTCCTTCAGAAAGGCTGGGAAGAAATACGGCATATTGGTGAGCCTCCCTACTGGTACCAAGCTGCTACTGATCGCAGACTGTGGGAAACTGCCCTCAATAGGTGGTTACATGCTCGTTCTCTTGAACCCCTTGTATACTACCCTGACCTTCACTCGCTTGATCTTCATGGCCGTATGTTACTCCAGGTAGGTGAGTCCTTCACTCTTCTCCACATGCGTCATCCGCCAGTTGAGAGTCCTTACCCTAGTGCCTTTAAAGTTGTAGAACAGACGGACGTCGAAGATGAAACAAGTGCGGTAGTCTTCTGCTCTGACGGTAGCTCTAAACTTGCGCACGGCTCCTTTGGCGTGGTTGTGATGGCACCGTATGCTGAACTTTCTGAAGCCACGATCTGTCAGGGCAGAATTGACGGTTACTGCACGAACATACGCGCTGAATTAGTTGCTGCCTGCGAAGCCCTAACACTAATTAAACATCTACGTAGACAGAACACTGACCTACCCATCTTGTACCTGACGGACAGCGAGTACGTCCTGCAGATCCTTGATAATACTATTCAGCCAACTTGTCATATCCCGGATACCAATAACCTGATTTCTCTGTGGCACTCAGTGTGTGACACAGTTGTTGCCAAACATGTCCGAGCCCACAAAGGACACCCGGTGAATGAACTTGCTGACCTTAGCGCCAAGGAAGCCTACCACTTCCCTCATTTTCGGAGAGTAATACGCAAGGTGAACTTTGACACTGTTTACTTGTTGCGAGACCACCAACCTCTCCCTGATTTCCTGAAGTGGCTGTAGCTTCTAATGAATACCTGCTCTGATCCATACGACGACATCACCGATGAGCTGATCAGGTGGGACCCACGCGACTGCACTTTCAGTTTTGCTTCAGGCTTGATTCAGTTCGCTGCCACCAAGACACCCATTTAATCTGTTTCTAGTATTACGGAAACCTTATAAAAATATAAAAACATGTCTTAAATCAGTTTGAGTGGAGTAAACTGCTGGTGCTTGCTGTTTTGTCCTGTTGCGACCCTGTGCAGCTACTGATGTGCAGGAGCAGTTGTGAAGTCTAGCTGATGACTCTCTGAATCACGCCGTCGCACTTATCAAGACAAAGGGGGGGGGGCAGGACGCGTCCAAAATTCGCCATGGCACAGTGCCTTGCAGAGTTGCCACTAAAGCAGCCTTTCAGTGCGGATGCCAGACATGCCTTAGCGCAGCACTGGATGATGCCTGCTTTCTTCTGCAGTGCTGGCATTCTTCTCTGCCTCAGTCTATGTGCCCTTGCAACATTGTGGCATGTGAGAAGACTGTCCTTGCAGGTAACAAAGCTGCAAGTCACTGTCGAGAGCCTGGGGATCCCAGTCTTGCTGCAGGAACCAACGCTGTTTCCGGAAAGCGTGCGACAAGAAGTGGAAAAAGCACACAAAGGGTTATGGAAACAGCTACGAGACACACAGGCCATGATCCTACGCATCCAAGCAGTCGTTGAGGACAAACTCCACAAGTACGAGAAGATAGTGAAGCACTTAATTCATGCCCTGCATGACTTGGAGCCCATGACGGAGAAGCTCCAGGACTCTGTGACCTCTGTCTTTGATGTGCTTGAGGAAATTTTCCAGGAAGAGGAGCGAGTCTTTTCATGTCATACGGCACAGTTGATTGCAGCGATGGACAGATTGAAGTACATTGTGCACCAGCTCCTTGATCGCAGTGAAAAACGGTATGGCAGCGCACACACCCTTCGACAAGACCTACACAAGGCAGTGATCTCGGTCCTCAATCAGAATCACAGAATCTTGACGACCGTGGATGTCCTGCCATGCGAGATTGAGCATCGTCTGGGTCAAATTTTACTGAAGAGACTACGTGAAATCCTTCCTGAGACGATTGACCCTCTTCATCAACAACTACAGTTGCTTGCAACACGTGAATCGCGCGATGTACCCTCGTCTTCGCATGTACAAGAAAGTGAGCTCGAACCTCACGAACCCAGTGTACCTGACAATGTGAGCCTAGGACCCAGTGCTCATTTCGTAACTCTGGATGATGGCTCCACGCTTCCAGTACAGCTTGAAGCGTAACTTTCAAAGGAGTCCCAGTATACTATGCCCGAATGTACCATAGCTTGCAACAGTAGTGTGTAGCCAACTCGTAAATTCGTTTGAATTCAACTGATCGGATGATCAGATAGTCTGGCAAGACTTAATTAGGTGCTTCATAATGATACTTGCATGAACAGTGTAATTAGTTGCAAACACTGCATGTGTGCAATAACTCACTCCAGTGGCTACAACTCAGTGTGCACAAAATCAGTTTTGCTTGGCAGCAGCGGAGCTTTCAGTGCAGATCTTTCACTGCATATGTGCAACAAGAATCACTTTGTTTTGACTGCTGTGACTCCGAAGAAGCTGTCCTGTGATCTGAATGCACATGCCGCTCCATAGCTGTGCCCACTCAGGGATTACACGCTTTCATACTCCATATAAACCTGCTGAACTTGCCATGGCCATGGCACCCGCTTGGATGGAAGCAAACAGCGATTCCAACGCGTTGATGCTGACTGCGTCCTTTCTTGTGGTAGTCGTGAGCTTTGCCTGGTTCTACCAGCAACGTGCGTCCCACCGAGTGGATGCGATGTTGACGCTTGTGAAAAGTGACGTCACTGCCATGCTACAACTGCATGGACGAGATCTACAGCAACGCTTGGAGACGCACTCGACACAAGTATGCCAGTTACTTGAGGACCTCAAACAATCTTCGACGACACAACCAGTGCCTGATACCCCGAGTGACCTCAAGGACTTCGTCACTGGCGACTTCAAGACCTTCACTGACGACATCAAGCAGGAATTCATGCAAGTTGCAAGCCGAATGACTGAATTGGAACGACTTCTCCAACAATTACCTGTGCAGGTGAATTCAAGCATTGAAGACTCCCGTGCCAAAAGTCACAAGATGACCAAATCGAGCGTCCAGGAGATCTTCGATCTAGGACAAGGTTCACTACAGACGTGGATGACCTCTGAGCTGCAAGCAAGACTGGATAGTATAATTACTGTCCTGACTGGTGTGCAGGCTGAGTTGACCCTGGTCTCTGACTCCACCCGCCTGGACATGCTTGAAAATGACCTGAAGGAAGCAGTCAAGATGGTGGACGAGCACCTCAACAACTTCAAGGACTTCAGGATCAACGAGTCTAGCCAGCATCAGGCAGTGGTTTCGCTGGCGAAACAGACTCAATCAATGATGTCGTCGATGCGCTCTGACATTCTACAACCCTTGCAGTACCTGCACAACAATGCGGCAACCCATGGACAAGTACGAGGCATCGAACAAAACCTTGACCTGGCGAACCAGAACGTGTGGTCAAATCAAGGCCACCTTAAAGGCCAAGACGACTCCCTTGCAGAGCTCAGCAATATGGTGGAAAAAATTCAACAAGTCCTACTGAAGGTCCAGACTCAAATGGAGAAGATCATCTCGCGGCTCACACCACCACAACAGAAGGCGCCGCCACCAACTCCGCCAAGTCAACCAGCACAGGACCTTCCGGCGCAGGATCCATCACCAGTACCGAAGAGTTCGGCGTCGACCAGTTCTACACCCTCGCCGATTTCACCACTGCAAGGAGGAGCACAACCTGACGTGCCCATACTGAGGATTCAAGAATCCTTGCCCCTGCGCCAGCCGGTGTCACTGTTTGCCAACCTGCCTCATGGGCCCCCCATGCACCTGAGCAGTACACTGCATCATGATCCAAGGGCGAGAGAAGCACTGGCCTACCTCGCACAGATCTGTGGTATGATGCCCTGAATAGGAACCATTCTGCTTTAAGGGTTTTGATAAACCTGTGTTCTAAAACTATTTCAGCTCTAGCGGCCTTGATACACCTAGAGTGCGAGACGACTTAATTGGCTGAATGCTGCAGACTGTGTCCTCTATTCATGCAAATCTAATTCATAATTTATGTTGCATCTGTCAACTGCCTTGTCGTCACAATGGTCAGCGAAGCAAAATAAGCAGCCCGGGGTTATGAGGGCGCCCCAGTGCAGCCCCACACCTTGAGTGCGCTTGATAACCTGGCGAATGCGAATGCAATTTCTTCTCTCAGCCTGACTGCAGTGAGTGAGCTTCTGTTGCGGCGCTGTAACCTAGCTGCCCACGGCCTCCTTTGTCACTGCTTCAGGCTCAAAGCCAGGCTCAAAGTTTCCTTCATGTCATTTCCAAACATGAGCCAACCACTCAGCTGTGCTCCGGATAGTGCGGGCAAACTGCACTGTGATGAGCATCAGCAGCAACAGCAACAACAAGAACTCGCGCCGGAACCAGAGTTGAGTACCCTGACTCCAGAACAAGAGTTGAGTGATGAACATAAGCGAGTACTTGCAAGGGCCTTGAAAGTAGATTTCAGAGTGGCGGAGTCTGAAACTGTTTGTTATGCCGTCACTTGCAGACATGTCAGAGATGGGACTGCGATTTCCCGAACAGACCTACGTGATGCATGGGACCTTATTCCCTGGGGTTTCAAGCAAAGTTTTCGAGGCGAATCTCACCCTGACCTGACCCCCTCAGTAATCTACTTTGGAGCTAACCCCAGAAGTAGCTCAACATGCACAAGTGGGTCTGATCGTCATCCGAATTTGTCTCGCTTGGTAGTGCATTTCATTCGACAGCAGGCTCCGAACTTTCGTTTCACAACCTTTGCCCTGCGTGAAGACTGCACTCGCTCCCCCCATCGAGATCCCCGTAATGGACCCTGTGGCACCTTCTTCCAGGTCTTGAGTGATGTCAGGGGCGGCGGTCTGTGGATTGCTCATGCTTTAGGTGACTCCCCGAAAGAACACCTTGGCAATCAAGTCAATGGGTTTAACTTTGAAGCACTTCACGAACCCTTAATCTTCGATGCTCGTAAGTTCCTACATGCTAGCCAACCGTGGGAGATGGATTGTCCCAGGCTTGTGTTGATTGCCTGGACAGTGCTACATTTCCGCACACTGTCCCCGGGAGTCCAATATGAGCTGAAAGATCATGGCTTTCCGCTTCCAACGAATTCTGATGCAGCAGCTGATGTACCTTTCCCAGTACTGCCCCATCCTACAGGCTTCGTGGAACCTGCACCCAAGCGACTAAAGCAGTGCCCTCTTGATACGTACTTAGCTTCGACAGCTGCTGCATCGACGGACGGGACAAGCATGACGCTTGGGCCCAAAGGTATGATCACGCATCACATTGACTGACATGAGTGTGTCCCCACTTAACCTGATTCTAAATTTGACGGAAATATCCTAAACTTATAAAAACATTGTCCTTAATCAGGTTGAGTGGAGTCAAGTTCCGTCAGTTGTGCTGCATGGTTCTCCTCAGGGTTGCGCTGATCCCGATCCCTACTATGAAAGCTTGTTGCTAGTCCTCTCATGCCTATCCCCAAAGCCGTGAACCTTGATGAGTGGACCAAGCGACAATCCAATGAGACAATGATGCATGTGCATGCAGGTATAATTGACGGCTCTGGTCGGAATTTGTAATTCAGTGACTGCAATTTGCAAGCTGATGATGATGATGACAACAATATTTCTATCAGTGCTGGATGACTGATGCTGCTGCTTCTTAGGAGACCCTACCTGTTCTGACTTGGAGTGACTGACATGTCCCAACTTTCTAATGTTATGCATTTACTGGGGCCTTTATAAGGGTGTCGACCTGAGCCTTCCCTGCCAACTTTCTTTCATTCCCAACGCTACCACATGATTGCTGAGGTCTGTGATAATTCTTTGACAATGAGGTCCCTACCCCTGTCATAACAGCTATCCTGGAAGCAACTCTTTGAAGGACAGTGCATAAGCCCGAACCCGCGCCTTCGTGCTCTGGATGGGGTGCTTAATGGCTGCCACTCTGGCTTGCTATCTCCAGTCTCTGCTGATCCATGGTTGCAATCATGGGCGATGTCAGATGTGTGGTTTACTTGGTTGGTTGCGCTGGCTTCCAAGTGGACCGGGCGTACGACACAGTATGGACTGACCAACACAGTGCAAAAGTATCTGGCTTTGGCTCCCAGTCGACAGGACTCGTGACTTCCAGACCTGGTTGGTTGCTCTGTCAACTATGTGAACCGTGCGAACCGGACGTGTAACATACAATACCTGCGCTGTCCAGCCTGCACTGTCCAACACTTGCAAGTTAGGACACTCGTTTTGATGCTGGTTTCCAGACTACAAGACCTACGACATCCAGGCTTGTTTTGCCCTTGCTGGCTGCACTGGTACCTCTCCACAACTACAGACGTCAAAAACCTGGTATAGGAGACGGGCTGCGGCCTCTTTCCTATCCCAGGTCAGAGTCGGCTTGTTACAGTTGCCAGCTGCTTGCTACAGTTGCAAAATCCATGTCTGCGCAGTCACCTGATACTGAACTGGCCTCTGACGAGCCTGCTGAAAGCCTGGGATTAGATGCTCGGGGAAGTCCTGGTGTAGTCACTGGGGCATCTGTACTCTGGTTAATGAACTTGCTGAAAGGTGAAAACGGCGGGACACACACTGCGAATTGGCATAGAAGATGGATTTGAGTCTATTTTCTATTCCATGCGAGCAACCAATTCGACCGCTGCGCTTGTGAAGAATTTAATGCTTGCATGAGTGCATGAGTGCATCATAATTGATAATGAAAAGGGAGTATAGTGCGAGTGACATATGCAGCTTGAGTGGGCATTATGCCCATGAGATCCTATGAGATGGAGTCCGGCATTTTGCTGAAGGGTCCACGTGTTTTTCTGGAAACCTTCTCTTTCTCCTTCCTGAATTGGAAGTGGATGTCTGAGCATGCCCACTGAGAAAGTGGCCCTGATTCATCGGTCCCTAACATTGAGGACAAAGGATGAGAATTCGCAAGAGTATCCAACCATTACCCTGCTTCGTCTGATGAGCCATGCAGGAGGCAAAAAAAGGAACACATTTCTACCAGCCCAAGTCGAACCCTTGCACTAAATGTTTCAGACAAACTGCCAGCTTCCGGATCGCTTGGCCAGATCTGCAGGCCCAGTTCTGAACGGACGGTGCTGTTATGAGCACCCCTTTCGGCAAGATTCGGTTGGCATTGACAAAATCCAAGATAGCATCACAATATATGTAAGCGCTCTGTCGCTTGCGCGACTTCAGACCCCCTCGCACGGCTGCCGCAATAACCTTAGATGTGGAGCACAAACTTCTGACGATCTGTAGATGTATGCTCCAAGGACAAAATATGTTGAGATGGGGCACTCGCGGGTTGGCGATGACATCTTTGCGTGAAACGGTTTTCCTTTTTGTCAGCAGTTTGCCTGTTGGGTCGACCACCATATTCAAGCCTGCCTCAGAAAGCTGATGCTCAGGCACGGGAACAAGCAAGCAAAACCCAAAGAGTTACATGCGTCTGTGCCCAATTCCTCCAAGCTGCAGCAATCAGGGACGGTTCTCTGCTCAACTCCTTCGAGACTCGTTTAGCCTCGTCACCTGGTTCAAAATGAACCTTCTCAGGAATCAAAGCAGCCATGGCTGGACTATGTTTGGCAAAAAGCGAGCTCCGAATTTGCAATGCCGGACCCCATGAACCCTGCTAGCTCCATGCTGAAAGTCTGCCTGAAATTATCTGGCATCTGACAGCAATCGAAAGAGCACATGCCGAGCTCGAACAAAACAACTGAAGCATCTGCAAGATGCAGAATATGCTCTGCTGCACAACTCAAGCTTCATCGGACCATGCTCGCATGTGGGGGATTGCTGCACTGCATTCGTGAGCACTATGCAAACAACGGCCGCAATCTATTGGCACCTGCATCCTCATCTTCATCACGTGTGACCCTGCAGATCTTCGGCTTGTAGGTCGCTGGGCGAGGCATCCTGCATGCCAGGTACAATCGATGGATTGGCTGGCTAGAGAGCCCGGTCTCTGTTGCAAAACCTTCAACATGGCCATTTCTTCAACTGCACAATACCAGAACCTTTGCAATCTGACCCGTCCTTCATGAAGTTATGGGGGCACCACCACCGCTGGTCCTCAAGACGCAAGCGATGTGACAGCCCAATGCAACCGAAGTCTCGACGGGCGATTTCCATTACCGTGATACTGACACGACCAAGGCCGTCAAATCCCGCAGTCCTGCCGCAACGAAAAGTTTCACCCACTCGGGGTCGAACTTCTCGAGGAAAAGGTCCTGCGCATTTCTTTGGCTGTTTAATTGAGGATAGAAGTACGTTTGCAACACGAAGACTACATCCAATTCGGTCCTGCCCACGAATCATCAAGATTCTCGGCCCCGAGCACCATGAACGAGGCTCGATTGCAGGAAACATGAAATCAGCGAAAACGCATATGATGGCCTGCGTGCCGTTGTAATTAAAATGAACTGCAGTTCCTGGCGCTATAGCACAATCGATCCGACAAGCCATGCCCCGTGCATGGCACAAACATTTTCTCGAACAGCCAGCTGCTTAATCACTGGAGCGTCTGATGCATGAGTGCAACTGATCTCGCATGCTCCTGCATGATCGTGCACCACACGCGATACCTGATTTCCGGAAACCAGAATGTTTTCATATTTTCGGATGATTACGTAATTAGGGAATCAGGAATTAAGTTTTTTTTCTCTCCCCGTCGTTTCGCAGAAAGTCAGTCACGCCTACGCATCTATGAGCAAGATGGGGGGTCGAGACGGCATCATGGGCAAGATCCTAACTTAGCATATCCAAATGCATGGATTAAGCTATGTTCAGCACAGTTCGGTCCTGATCCATCCCGCTCATAACCACCCAAGGCCGTTTTAAGGGACATATCAAACGTACCTTAAAATAAGGGTCATTTGAAAAGCAACACGTCAGCTTTTTTAAGGGTCAAGCCGTCCGCAAGGTAGAGCTGTGGCTCCACGGCGTCGAAAGTCTCTTGCAGCTCGTCCTCCGGGATGACCCGGACGTTCTCTTTTAAGGTCCGGTCGCTCAGGTTGACAAACCCGTACCCGAAGATCACCTCTCCGTCGTTGTTCCCACCGGTGTTGGGCTCGACGGCCAGGTTCGCCAGCCCAGACGTAGTGATGCTGATGAACTGGTCCGACGCGTTGAGCTGCACGCCGCCGTTGGCCAGCGCCACCAGCTCGCCCTTTCCTCCGGCCAGCGTGTCGTTCTGAGTCGTCAAGTAGAGCCGCGCCACGCCCGTGGCGGACTGGTTCTTGACGCGAGCTCGCAGAAGCCGCCCGGGGCCCCAAGGCCCGTGACCTCGGCGTAGGAGGAGTTCACCTGCACCCCTGAGGAGCCGCCGGCGAGGTAGAGGTACGGCAGGTTCTGTTCGGGAGCGATATCGCCGTTGACCCGCAGGGTGTCGTTGACCAGGACGCCTCCCACGCCGCCCTCGAGCGTGAGCCACTGCTCCGCCGGGTCGCAGCGCACCAGCGGGGTCTCATCCCGCAGGTTGCTCACGACCTCCAGGTTGGCCGTGACGCTGCTGCTCGAGTTGAAGGTCCCCGTTGCGGCGGTGCTGCCGACGAGCAATTGCGCGAAGTCCGCCGTGGTGGCGTTCAGGGTGCTGGCCGCGGCCACCGTGACATCCCGGTCCATGCTGATGCCGCCGTCGGCGAAGCTGGCCAGCAGCGCCCCGTCCTCCCTGCGGATGGTGACCAGTGCATTCTGGACCTGCAGATCACCCGCCGAGCTCCGGAGCTCGGGCGTGTCCACGAAGCTCGTGGCCGTCAGGCTGTTGACGGTGAGGTCCGCGTGTTTTCCAGGGCGGTGACGCGGGAGTCGATGGAGGTGACCTGGGAACCCAGGCTGTTGAAGGTGGCGACCAGGGGGTAGCGGCTATCCGACTGGCTTTTTGACCAACAGTCCGCCTCGATCTCGAGCACGCTGCCGTTGCCCAATATCGCCGCTCCTGTGAGGGGCGGCCAAAAGCAGGCTGCGGATGATGTGGGGCGTGAATTGCTTTTACACGAGGTGGAAGATGCCGTTGCCCTTCGCCACGGCGGGATTGTTGGGGAGGTAGCGGGCGTCCAGCGCCGCGGTGTCGCCGGCCAGCTGAAAGCGCGAATCCGCCTCTGCCTTCGTGTATAGGCATCGCAGGTGAGCTCCAGCGTCGTGTCCGAGAAGAGGGTGTTGGCCCCCAGGGGCGTCCAGGGCAGGAGAGCTTTGATCATCGGCGGCGTCACGTTGGTCCGCACCAGGGACTCGAAGCTGTTGTTGGCGCTGACCGCGAAGTAGCGCGTGTCGGCCTGCGTCTGGGTCAGGAAGCCGGCGCCGGCGAGCGCATCGTCGATCTCCGTTTGCGTGCGCCCTGACGTCCAGTACTGCGTGAAGGTGGCCGTGAGCTGTGAGTCCAGCTCAGTCCTGGGGTAGTAAGAGAGAAGCTCGTTGGCCACGAAGCTCTGCGTCTCGGCGGAGGTGTAGTAGGCCGAGAGGTCGATGCCCGCGAGGGCGTTGGCGATCTCCTGGTCCGTCTCTCCTCGAGTGTAGAAATCGAGGAGGGCCGTGATGATCTTGTTGTCCACCTGGCTGCTGTTGTCGTAGCTCGACAGGGCCGAGGAGATGGCCGAGCTCACCTGGGCGCTGGTCTGGTAGTTCGTGAGGTCGCCAGCCACGAAGCTGGACACTTCTGTTTGGTCCCAGTAGGGCACCAGCTCCCCGGCGATCAGCGCCAGCACCTGGGCCTCCGTCCTGTACTGGGACAGGTCCAGGGCGTCGATGGCCGCCGTGATGGCGGCTCGGTTTCCACCTGGGTGTAGGTCTCGCTGCGGGCATAGGAGTCCGATTCGATGAGGACGGTGTCGTCCAGGTTTTGGAAGCTGGCGGTCAAGGCCCCCGCCACGGACAGGTTCCGCAGCACATTCGTGCCCCGGAGCAAATTGAAGGTCGGCCCGCCGTTCCAGGTCTGCCCGGCGAGGCTCAGATGCGTTCGCATCATAGGAGGCTGGCTATACGATACATCTAAACGCTGAGACCTCAACCTGAAGCCCGCTATGCCTCAAGCCTTCAGCTTGACCCCTCTCTTCCCCGTTTGCCGCACACCTCAATCTATGTTGTCGTGGCCATTTCAGCTACTGGAAGGGAATCTTTCACCATGTCACTGTCATTGGTCCTAAGCCCTTCTAAGCCCTCCTAACCCCTAAACCTCTAGACCCTAAACTTTTGAACTTGTGGAACGAAACCCTGCACCACCAAGCCCTTAGAACTTGCATGGCTTTTGTCTTGCTGGGGTCTGTCCTGGAATTTGCCCACCATGAGCACAAATACACTTCCAATGCTAGCGAATCTTTCCCACGCGCCACGAAGCCTGGACATTGGAATCCACATGCCCCGATTTGTTAAAGCCTACCTGGCAAGCTTGTGTCTCACTTGACATCCTCCGACTCAATTCCTGCGACCTTCGAGCAGAAAATGGCCCAGGACCCTGTCGGATTCCGTGATCCAGTTGGGTTCACTTCCGACGACGATGTTGCCTCCTTCAAGCGCCGACGTTCCTTCGAGCTGAAGCACGGCAGGATCTGTCTTTCTTTCGCAAACGCACCTGTCCGCTTGCACAATAAGGCTGCCTTTTCTGACGAGGCTTCTTCACCTGTAGGGTTTGACCTCGTCTTTGGAGGGGTTTGGTTTGTTTGCATTCTTGCTCTTGCTTCGCTTGGTCAGCACAGTGTCTGCTTCAGTGCAGAAACGCGGCTGAGTCCTCGCTTGTACGAGGCCACTCATCGGTGGTTGGCTTCTCCAACCAACTGATGCTTGCAGCTTTCTGTCTGCTTGTTCAGGGTGGTTTTTGTTTGGGTTTTTTGATTAGGGTTCTCCGTGCATGCTCCGTGCTCGGGTGTGCACGGCCATCCCCGGATGGACGATGACAACAAGAAGCACGGCAGGATCTCGATGATGGCAGCCATGGGCCTCTTAACAGCAACTGAAACACTGCATGCGATTTCAACATTGAAGAAATGTTGTAAGGCAGCACGGCGTATCTCGAACTTATCGAACACTTCACGCACTGTACTTGGGGTGAATGCTGGTTACAAAAGGGTAGCGCTCAAGCAGTACATGTTTCTTGATCGGGGTTCCGGAATTGGCAAGCTGCCGTGCTGTCAGAGCGTCACAGCCGGTGCTTGCTAGCGTAGCTGCGTGACAATTTTGTGGCGATGTGTGTTGCTTTGTTGCTTGCGCAGGCCTGACTTCTTGTCGCCATCCGTCGGTTTGAAGGCCGCGCCGGGGTCCTGGATGGCAACTGTGTGTGTGTGTGTGTTGAAATGTAAGCGTTGGTCGGCTAGAATAGCCCTGAACCCTAATGGGGGAAGTAGTTGGATGCCTCGCCTACCGATTCCTACTGTATTCAGCCACGTCCCCTAGCATCGTCCTGACATTTGGATTCTCCGCAACGAAATGCTCACCGACGCCTTGTTTGAGGAAGGTGGGTTGTGAAAAGGGACGCCCGCTCTACCGGTCGCCATCCTTCTACTTCACTCGAGGTTGGAGCACAAAGTCCGAGCATGGAAAATTAGAAGTACAACCCCCTGCAAATTAAAAGCCCCGATGGTGGAAGAATAGTGGTTGCGCGGGTTTTATAGGGCTTATAGGGTTTATAGGGCTTATTATAGGGTTTATAGGGTGGTGTATAGGGTTCATAGGGTTTATAGAGTGTAAAAGGATTAGGGGGACCGTTGGGGATTTCGACCCTCTCAATAAGGTCCCCTTTTAAGAGAGGCAGAAGCAGGGTTCAGAAGGGGTACCCTTTAAACGGCCTCCTTAACAAGACTACACCTAATCGGTCGACTTCGGACCCTGTCGTGCTAGATCCCCATTCCTTAGCGGCTTCGTCGTTGCAGCAGGAGGCCTGCCACAACCTTCATGTAAGTATGCTCAGGCCCGTGTGCCACTCACCCCTAAGAATCAAAATGATCGTAATGACAACAATAGTAATAATAGTAACACTAATCCTAATAATGAGAAGAATAATCATGAAAGTCATAATAGAAATATATAAAAAGAATAAAAATGGTAACTGAAATCGGGCAACTCGCCCCATTGACCGAGGTTCGCCCCTGGGGAGGAGCTCCCTCCGGGCTTCATCCCAGTGGCGCACCCGGAGGGGCACTTGCAGCCGCAGGTGGGGGCCGGGGGGCCCCAAAACCTAAACCCAAAACCCAAAACCTGAACCCTAAATCCTAAACCCTAAACCGTGGGAGAGTGCGCTTTCTGGTTCGAAGCTTTATTGGGTTGCTGTTAAGGAACTTAAACTAAGTTACTGTATTGGGGAAACCCTTTTATATACCCATTATGGTAACTTAAACCCTAAACCGTTCTAGAACTCTTATAGATCCCTTAAAGGAACCCTTAAAGGAACCCTTAAAGGATACCTATTATGGTAACTTAAATTAAATTCCTAAAACAGCAACCCAGTTTAGGCTTTAAGGGTAGGATGCCAAGGGTTCGGGGCCAAGCCTCGCAAGAGTCGTGTCCGGCTGTGGCTCAGATTTTTCTACTGGGTTTTCCAGCTGAGGTGGGGAAGGTTTCGGGCTCCTTAACCCTAAAACCCTATAAACCCTAGAAAAAAAACCTAGTGTGCTTCAAAACTCAGGTGGAAGGTTGTAGATCCTGGGGGTTCTAGTTTAGTTCAGCCTCTGACTTCCCTAAGCTCTAGAGGAAGGCTCCAGCATCCCCTTCAACCCTGTTCAAGCCCTGGAACCCTTGTGGCACCTTGTATCAGTATCAGGCTGGAAGCAACATACTGCAGGGCCCTGGATAAGTACCAATGTCATTTCTCAGAGGGTTCCTTATTATGAGTATACTATACACCCTAAACCCCATCCTAAACCCCACCCTAAACCCTAAACCCAAAACAACCCCAAACCCCAGAGGTATACTATACAGGAGCACCAAAACCCCATTCCGGATATTGCAGACACCCCAAAACTGCAGGACTTACGGCTTCGGCTCGAGAGTCCAGGGTCTGGGAGTGAAGGGTTTAGGGTTTAGCGTTTAGGGTTTAGGGTCTAGGGTTTTGGGGTTTGAGCTTTTCGGCGCAAGGCTACACGTGCCGAAGTCGTTGCCCTGTAGAGCACAGGGTGCAAATTGCGCCATGGCAAATTCAACTGCGATAAACCCTTGGTGGGACGATCTTCGGGATTTGTTTCAGTTTGCTTCCAGCTCGTTGGATTCTCTGCAGGGGCGATGTCTGTGCTTTGATTTGGAGCTTGAGGGTGAAGCGCATGCGGTGGATGATTCGGTCCTGATCCGAGCCCGTGCTTGCCAACAGCTTGAGGCAGAAGTGTCAGATTCGGCAGTCCGAGCTGTTGATATACAGGGCCCAGGGACTCAGGCGGTGCTGCGCATCCGTAAATCTGATTGGGAAGTCGTAGGGCGGCATTGCACTAAGCTCAGGGCCATGTGGACCAATGTGCAGGTCAATGGGCCAGTTGTCATTCTTGATGCCACCGTAGGTCCTGCCTTCCTGGTCGGATCCGCTCGATTGCGGCAGGATGAAACAGTGCAGGTCGCAGAAATTTTCTGCGGAGGTTTTGCAGGTTGGTCACAGGCGGCTTGGGCGTTGCGGCAAGTCGGCCATCGTGTAAGCACTAAGTGGATGCTTGACATTGAGGATGATTATGGCCCTTTGCTCCAGGTGTCGCACCGTGAGGCACAGGTGGTCTCAGATACCACTTCCCTTGTGCATGCAGACTGGGAGGCGGGACCTGTAATCCTGCTTGCAAACTTCGAACATAACTGGTGGCACCGAGTCTGGCTGCGTGGCTTTCCGGATATGCTGGTTGCCTCTCCCCCGTGTCAACCATGGTCGACAGCCGGCCGCCAGTCTGGCCTAGATTCCCCAGATGGACGCCTAATCCTCCGACTTGCTGCAGTGTGTGGGGCTGTTAGGGTTCCTGTGGTTTGCATTGAAGAAGTCCAGGGGTTCCGACAGCACCCGGACTTTGCCAGCGTCATGCAAGCGTGGCGGGACTCCGGCTACACATGTGTATATGAACGTGCCCTGCAGCTTGCTGAGGTTGCACCTACCTGGCGTAAGAGGTTCTTTTTGATCTTCTGTCATCACAGCCATGCCGACACAGCTCGCACTCCCCTCCAGGTTGTGGAATGGCACGCTCACCCCCGCCCGAGTCTGGCTGGGCTGCGAGCGTACTTCCCGGTGCTGCCAAGGCCATTGCTCCAGCAGTGCCACATTGCTGCACCAACGCTAGCGAAGTATATGGACCCCTGGTACCTTCCTCCGAACCATCCGTGCACAGCTGAATCAGTGGCACGCTTCCGACTGTGCCATCCAGGTCAGCGGGCTAAGTGCTTCATGGCCACTTACCATCGGCAACACGAGCTCCCGGATGGAATGCTCTCGCGCTCGGGCCTGCTGTGTAGCCTTCTTCAGGTCGGTCAAACTGTCCGGTTCTTCAGCGCCCCGGAGATTGCAGCCTGCCATGGAGCCTTGCGAACCCTCCTAATTCCCTTGGAGGATACCACCGCCATGACGGTACTGGGCAATGCTTTGGCCACTCCTCAAGCCGTCATGGTCCTCGCACATGCACTGCAGTGCTTCAACAGCGTCACTACCCCGCCCGACCCAGTAGCAGCGGTGCATTTTGTGCTAAACCATACCCTGAATGCGGGCAACTGTGTCCTGCTGCGGGCACCGGGTGGATGGATTCCGGCCCACTTGCAGGAGCTAGGTTTCGTGCTGGCTGACGAGGCCCTACGTCGACAGATAGAGACCCGCCTTGGCAGTGCTACTGCGTCCTTCTATCAGGTTTCCTTAGGTCAGGGCCCCCCCGAGGATTTTGCTGAGCTTGTGGTTGTGCACTGCTCCACCCATGTGAGCATCCAGGAAGCTGCACTGGCGCTGCAACTTGAGGTTGAGGCCTCCCCTGCGGTGCCAGTGCTTGCAGGCGAGGTCGTGCAAATCCAGGTTGAGGTGCTGCCCAATAGGCCGTTCTGTGACTCCCGACCGGATGGCCAAACTCACCGCGGCCCTGTTGTCCTGTTCACGCCGTCTGGCCTCGTGATACTGAAGCTTGGTGTGCCCGACTGGGTTCATCAGTTGAAGTGGTCCTTTGACTTTTGCAGGGCCAATCAAACGAGTGTGGCATGCCTTAGCTGCTTTGGGGAGCGCCTCCAATGCGTCTCGCAGTTTCCGAATACTGTGTTCGTTGCCACCGATGCAGATGACTTGTTCTTCGCAGCACCTTGCATGGATCGGGCCCAAGTGAGCGCATGCCGGCTGAGCGGCGGCCCTGAAGACTTCACCCTGGAGATTGAAGCCCAGCATGCTGTGGTGTGGTGGCTTCAGGCCCCCTCGCATTTGTTGGAGTGTCTTGGCTGGCAGTGTACTGCCTCTGATATGCCCCAATGCCCGGGTGACGTGTTTTGCTTGCGATGCACTAAAACCGGAGCCATGGAGCCCCTGCCCTTCGAGACTGTTCAAGGCTATCTTCGGGATGTTCTTTTCCTTGCCCAGCTTAAGGCAAAGGTTCAGGCGGGTGGCGGGTTGTCCTCCGAGCCACTGCTCCTGCAGGTCCTCACGCGCACTCTTGGTTGTATGCAACTGCCGCTTGCTTTACGGCGTGCAATGCTACGGGTTGCTGGCCAACTGCTCGTGTCTACTCCGGCCCTCGTCCACTGGCTGTCTCCACCAATGTGCAGACGCTACTCTCTGATGGCCTGGGACACCGCCGCACCAAGGATCACAAGATGCTAATAACCATTATGCCAGAGCTCCGGGGCGGAGGTTTGAAAGACGAAAACACGCAGCTTGCTAAGTCTCGCATGGCATCGCTGATGTTGGACCGGGGCATTACACTGCCGGATGCCACCAAGTCCATTGATGCCCTTGTGCCTGCCTTGGGCACCGCAGCCTGTTTGCATGCGTTGTCCCATGGTGACCCGCAGGCTCAGTGGCATAAGTTGGGACAGAGTGCGCAAGCTGTCGGTAAAGCGCTTCCCGCCGGGGACAACAGAACGGAGAAGGCCGCGAACCGCATCCAAAAGGCAGTGCGCCGTCGCCGCCTTCAACAGGCTACGCAGCTTTGTGCGTCGGACTTCAGCCTTGAGGCAGGCACCTGGTGTGGCATTGATGAGCAGCCGGTGCAGGTGCTTGATGCAGTCCGCCCGGACTGTAGTGGTGTGGTTTTACTTGATGCCCGGGAAGCCAATCCCCAGGACATTGCCTTGCTCCGCAACATGGGCGCCGAAGCCCTGTGTATCGTCATACCGGGCCACACTTGCCCGGATCCTAGCTCTTGCGCAGGTGCCACTAGCACTAGCGTGCCAGTGGTCCACCGTGGCACGGGATGTCGCCACCTCTTGGCGGCTTGCTACCACAATGTTGGGGAAATTGACATCAAGCCCCACTTCGTGTGCAGTACTACTGTCCAGGTTGATGGTACCGTGTGCTGCTCCTTCACCATGCACCAGGACGAGGCCCCTGTGAGCCGGCCATGGGCAGAGGTGGTCCAAGCTCCTGTCAAAACAGTTGTGGAGCTTTTCAGGAGCAGTGGAATCCAGCAGGCACTGACAAACCCGTGGGGCCGCAGCTTTCGCAATGGTGGCCGGCCCTCACTGCCGCACGCTGCGGATACATGTCAGTTCTTCGCTAAAGTGCTCCGTGCGGACCTCAAGCTAGTGTTGCAGCAGAGTGGCTTCAACAGAGTGTACGTTGTGCCGAGAAGTTGGGACCGCCAAATTTTGCCGGGCTGGTCAGTTGTTTGGCTGCCCGGCGCACGGGGCGAAGTTGAAAAGCAGGCATTGGTTGTTCCTGAGCAACACGGGTTGGTTCGCAGCCGCAACAAATACGGCCTCCGGGTTGCCGAGTCTGTGTTCTCACGAGTGTTTGGCCAATTGCGCCCGGGGGCGGATGTCCCTATTGCCATCTCAGTTAAGCTTACGTACAAGCTCGGACCGGTTCCAGCTGCTGCCAGTGCGGAGGATGTGCGAGCATGGGCCCGCAACGTGGGCTGGGCTATGAAAATCATGAAGGCACTTGGGCCTCAATTCTGGCTGCTTGGCGCTGAGGGCCCTCCCCCGGCGGAGACCGCATTGTTCAACGATCAGCCAGTCCTGCTTGTTCCAGTCCGGCACCGGGAGTCCCCACCGCCTATTGTTCAAGCTGGTGGCCCACTGCCCAATGCTCCAACTACCAAAACCGTTGGATCACAGCAGGGTGCTACAGACCCTTGGCTTGTCAGCGACCCGTGGAGTAGCTACCGGCCTGCCTCTTCTGCACCTGCTGCAGCGCCCTCTTCCCTTGCACCAGCCCGTACTGTGGACCAGCAACTGTCACACCGAGTCCACGATCATGAGAACAAACTTGCTGCCCTTGAGCAAAGCTTGCAGGCACTCCGCACCGAGCACCATGAAGCCCAGCAGGTCGCGGCACAGGATAAGCAGCGGGTCGCGCAGGATCTCCAAGCTGTGCGTGCCGAGGTCCAGACTGTTGGCACAACCATGCAACAACAGCTCCAGGCCAGCATCGATGGTATGCGACATGCACAGGCCCAGCAGGAGCAGCAGATGAATCAGGGTATGGCTGAGCTAAAGGCACTTTTGATCGCTGCCCATGAAAACAAGAAAGCCAGACTCGGTGCTGGAGCTGATGACTTGTGACGGCTCACGTGTGGCCTGGCCCTGTTGGGGCTGGGCGTGCAGGAGGTGCCTCCCTTTGAACGGTTCGTTTGGATGTGCCTCCTGCCTTGGGGCGCTACTGCTGAGGTGGCGCTTCCACCTCCCGATGTGCATCACTCTGCCGGTGGTGCGGGGTTTCTTGTGTCTAGGTGGCCCTTGTCGACCACGCTGCCGCACATTGCTGCCTTTGGGGTTTTCTACGGTTGGCAAACTTACGTTTTCTGCAGCCAGGGGTGCATTCGGCTTTATTTCCAACTATTCAGGTAAGGTACCCATACAGCAAGTGCAACAAAGCGAGGCAGTCGGACACCTTCTTTTTCAAACCAAAGCGGGGTATGTCTGGTGAGTACGTAGCTAAAGAAGGTGCACACACCAGCATGGATGCACACATCCGACAAGATGACCGGCACACCGTCATCACTCACCCACCCCAAGGGAGGGCGGGCGGGACAAAAAATTCTCCCAAGCTGCACACAGCCAAAACTGCAACATCAAACATGTATGTTGAGCAAGTCGTCAAACACCACATGCTTCAAGTCATGCAAACATGTCGCCAGCAAATCGTAAAGATCAAAAATTAGCAAAGGCGACACCGACAGAGAATAGTTTGGGAAATAAAATGCTGTCTCGCAAGCGAGAAGGCTTATTTATTTCCAACTATTCAGGTAAGGTACCCATACAGCAAGTGCAACAAAGCGAGGCAGTCGGACACCTTCTTTTTCAAACCAAAGCGGGGTATGTCTGGTGAGTACGTAGCTAAAGAAGGTGCACACACCAGCATGGATGCACACATCCGACAAGATGACCGGCACACCGTCATCACTCACCCACCCCACTCAAGAAGATGACGGTTAGGAAAGGGTTATGATGGATTGCACCAAGCTGTCGAAAAGAGCTCTCACGCAAGGCTCTGTCGATGCGCGATTGCGAGGAAGCATACTGCAGTCCCTACCTCTACTGGGGTAGTCTGCCACATTGCTGCACGACGGGACACGTGCTAGCCAGGGCAGCACCGTGTGCGATTCACAAGTCTTAGCGAAGATGTGACAGATCCGCGTGATAGACCAAGACGATGAGCAGCCCTTGATCAGCGAACATCGTGCGCCTTCGTTGTCAAGGTATGCCACGCACTCGGTGGACTTCAAGTGTTCCTCCCACAACTGAAATGCAAGTACAACCGCTATGGCTTCCAACTCGCCGATGCCTGTCTCCGCTTTCAAGGGCAGCAAAGGGCGAATGTCGGTGCTCTCCAGGAGCAGTGAAAACCACCCGACTACGGAACCCGAAGGCGAGATCAGCACGCCACCTAAACCTCCGGTATAGTCAGGCTCAAAACTCGCATCAGTGTACACGAACCATGGCAGGCCTAGCGGCTTATGAATCCTTCTGGGTTGTCCTTCAAGTATGCGGGCCATCAGAAAGCTCAATGCATCGGTCGTGGCAGCACTCAACTTCGGCATGAAAGGGTATGCATGCACGGGTGTGCTGACATGTTTGAGGGCGTAATGCCCGGCTTTACCCATAACCTGCGAGTTTGCAAAAGCAAGTTTGCCACGCAACTCCATGCCACCTTTATAAGAGAGCTCGCCCTTGGCAAGCACGTCTGAAACCAAAGCATGGATGTCCCTCTTCCTCTTCTCGGTGTTGTCCACCGTAACGACACCACCCCCGCTCTCAGACAAGTCAAAGTGCAATCCAAGAGCCGAGACATCTCGAGAGAAGGTGTCGGCTTTCGGGCCCACTGTGTCAAACACCCAACCTAACAGCTGGAACAGTAGCTCCATCGTGCTTCCTGTATTGTCTGCTAGGCAGTCGGGCGACGCTACTATGAAGTCGTCGTAATATGAAGTCGTCGGTACAAGGAGGCAGCGCGTCGCCAACCATTGGATGCACCGAGAGCACCTGATAAAGCCGTTGACCGATGCTCGGGAACCAAACGGGAGGCAAATTTGTGTGAAAAGGCATGTCTTCCCCGTGTGAGGGTTGTAAACGGCAATCACAGCAAACTTCCTGGAGGCAGTGGAGACACATAGCTGCCGATATGCAGCGGTCAAGTCGAAAGAACGGCCCTTGATCCAAGAGGGTCGCTTGGCTTTCCCGAGTCCCTCGCACAGTTTGGCAAACATGGCGGCCGCCACATCTGCAGTGTCCACTGTGGGCTGCTCTAGGGTGGTCACGCATGCATTCACCCCGCTGCGGCTGTAGTCATCGATGGGCCGCAATTTGTCGTGCTGCCACAAAGGGAAGCGGTGCGATACGACATACCCGTCGGGCAAGTCGTCCCAACCATATGGGCCCACAAGCCAGCCCCTGTCTACCTCCTGCATCGTCTTTTCCCACAACTTCAAGTCGGTGGCATGATCCCCCGATGAACCAAGCGACATCCGAAGCGCTGACATCGTCAGGGTGAAGGGATGCTGGAGACACTTTCCCAGGCAGCACGTTCGACACAGGCGAGGTCCCCACTAAGTCGAAACCCGATCTTATGTCACTGGCCAAGCTCACGTCCTCATAGCCCTCGCTCGCGATAATCTCATCCAACAGCTGTAGTCGTTTGCTTCGCAGCACCTCCCTCATGTGCGAGTCCTCGACTTCCCAGATAGGGTCAGGACGCACACCTATCTCAGCGGCGCGGGCGGTCCACTTATCCAGCCACTGCTTGCGCCGCTCGACGATGGCACTCGGCGGGGCCTTCGACACTAGATCTATGCAAGATTCAAGATGTGCTGGTAACGAGTCAACCATTGCTTTAGGGTGACCCGCCTTCACGGCGGCACGCACGAACTCGCTTTCAGTATGATACACGCCAAACGTCAAGGTACACATCTCTCGATCCCGCGCCTCGGCAAGCTCAACCTGTGGATTGTCAGCCCTGTCAACCTGAGGCGCCGCAATGGCTGGCAGGATCGGTGGGCTGTGACCCGGCAGCGGAAAGCCCAGGTCTAGAAGAAGTCTAGTGTCACTCTGTTTCAGCGACGAAAGATTTCTCGGAGTGAAGCCGATCAGGACGATTCTTGATCCAAGCCAAGGCAAGGTGCAATGAAAGCGGTGTGCATCAAAATGCACGGGACCCTCGCAGACTTGCAATACACGGCCTGTGGATTGGCCGCATGGCGTCATCCGGGAGTGATTGCCCTCAACATCCTGCACCCAAATGCCTCCATCTTTGAAAGATGTGAGGGGAGCAACATAGTTCAGCGTGCCCTCCAAGTTATTTGCATCCCTGTGCATCGGAGTGCAAACGTTGGAGTAAAAGGCAATCGTCGCGAAGCATGCATCTGGGAAGCATGTACGCAAGTACCTGACAGCAGCAGAGACAACACGAGGGAAAGCTCTGGTGTGCTTCCGCAGGCCACATAGCTTGTTCTGGGAATAAGCCCCCGCGGTCCAAGCCTTCTCTCGAGCATCATCAACGCCACGTGCTGGCACTTCGGCTGGTAAGGTTTCGAATATACTGACAAGGCTGCTGGCATCAACTCTAGCACCAAGATTCGAGGCCAGCATCTCTGCTTCACACTCGGTCGCACATAACAGCGAGCCTGAACATGTGGGGCTTAAAGCTAATGGAGCAGCACCGCCTACACCCGAAGGGGAAGAGGGGAAGGCGGGAGAACCACAACTGGGAGGTGCTGCTCGCCCATCAGTTTGCATGCAAGGGGACATGTCGGTATCGCCAGAGGGATGAACACTATCACAGGCAGCACCCACTAGACCCGAAGAGGAAGGGAGGGCACCGGCGGAACCACAAGGGGGGGGTGCTGCCTGATTCACACCACTCGACGCGTCCGAAGCGTCTGGATTGTGTTCGGCGAGCGATGCTCCAGCCTGCGAAGTACGGTGCACCTGGTTGCAGATCAAACCTTCCCCTTCTACACGATCGGCAGCCAGTCGAGAAAGAGGCGGCACAAGCTTGGAACCAGCAGGCACAACAGTGTCCTGCACGCGAAGAGTGCTCAGCAGCCGGTTCTTGGAGTCCAGAGGTGGACATTGCGGCACAGCAATTTGCACAAAACGCTTAAATTCAGGAACTGGGGCCAGAGGGAACTTGCGTGGCTGCATCCCCGTCGCAACCTGAGCTGCAGCAAGTGGTGGTACCTGCGGAGTGCGAACATGCAGATGCTCGAGCATGACTGATGCGAGCGCACGATAGAGCTGCCCCAAAGCAACATCAGTGGAAGGCTTTTGGCGAATGGCAGTCGCCAAGCTCGCACAAGAACGAAGGACAAGTGGCAGGGAGGATGCAAACCGAATGCAACCGGGTGTTGGAGAGCCAAAGGCTTTGAGATCAATGTCAATCGATGATTTAATCAAGCTCTTACCTAAGTCAGTTGTCCAGAACGACGACCTTGATGCAGCTTCCACCGTCCAAGGCGTCCCGGTATCATTGCAGTGTTTCAAAAGCTGAGAGATTGCGTACACACAGCGGTCAGAATTGTCACAAGAAGGATGCGGAGATTTCTGACGATTTGGAAATATAGAACGAGGGCACCTGATATGCACCCACGCACATGAGGGTTCGCGGGCCCATGAGGCACAAAGGGCAAGGCCACCCGGAGACAAAATATCCATTGGAACAACCGGTGCCGCGGCTGCCTGTGAGCAACCCTTGCCAACTGCAAAGGAATTCGGCAACCCCATTCGGAGACAACCACACAAGCAGGCACGACGAGCAAAAACTTCAACGCAAAATGCGCTTGCACTGCAAAATTTGCCGTCATCTGACGGCTGGCTCTGTTGTAGCACAGGTGCCTCAGACTCTTCGGGATCAGCATGTGCAATGAGATCACCTGTGCAAACTGCATGTCACTCAGAAGTGGCCGAGTCATGCTCGGACATGGGATGCGATTTGTAACAGCCCGGCTTGCAACACACATGCTTGAACTTGCACTTCGCACCCGCTTTGCACTTTCCAAGATTAAAATTGAAACAGATGGGTTTGTTGTCAGGCGTCCGCGAGTGCATCCCCTTCAGGGCATCTGGTATTGGGTCGCGGGTGATCTTCAACTTCTTATGTTTGCCATCCCCTGGTGTGTCGCTAGTGCGCTTCTTTCCATTGCCTTTGTCGCCGGGCTTGCCGGAGCCCTTGCCCTTACCTTTGACAGGTAGCAAAAAGTACATGACCGATTGGTTGTACTCTAGCTTCTCAAACTCCTTGTCGAGCGGGAGCACGCCCCTTGCGTCAGGCTTCAGGTTCCCATTGCACGTGCGGGCAAGCTCCAGGAAACATTGCCGGTCTGCCCTCAGCACCTGTGCCCTCGAGACCTTCTGGAACTCCGGTGGCGGGTCCTGGCTCATAATGCGGAAAAGCCGTTCATTCCACTTCTGCACCGTCTCATAAGAAGCTAAACCAACAAGGTCCATGGCCAAAGCTCGCCTCATCATTGCCTGGTAAAGCTGCAAATCGCTGTCGACTGACATGGTGGCCAGGGCTTCCTCATCCTTCACCACGATGCCCATCTTATTAGCGTCGAGCTGTAAGGCCTTGGGAGGCTTCTCACAACAAAGCTCAGCATCACGGGTGATGCACTCACCGGGGGAGAGGTACTTCAGTTCGTCGTTCTCGCGCATGTTCGCGAGCTTGTCATACACGCAGTGGGCTACGGACAAAGGGCCCTCCAGCGGGAGGCCTTTGAGGCGTTGCTTCTGATCCTCGATGCGCATTGAGCGCTCCGACGCCGGAAGCTTCCGAGACACCTCCTCACCGGATTGCATGGTAGCTCGGAGCTCTGCCACTGTCATGGTCTGAGCTTCGAAGATAAGCTGTTTCATCGCGGAGCTGTCGCCCAAATTGACTCTCGCACCGGGCCTCAAAGTAGCAGTGAAGCTATCCATCTCGTCAGCCGTCGGTTGCGTTCCTGGGAGCGATACTGCATAGCTCAACTTGCCCAGCGTAGTGATGCCTGAAGCTTTCATGGCAGCGATCCAATCCGCTGCCAAGCCCACCCTTTCACATTGCTTGTCGAAGGCGGCAGCCGAAGTAAGAATTGAAACCGCCGCCATCCCGCAAGGTCACCAATCTCTACACTGCTGTGAAGTATAATTTGTCAACAAGGGTCCAGGCCTGATCTAGAGAGAAGATGCAAGCTCCTGGTCCGAATGCACACAAGCTGTTGAAACAAAGCGAACAGACAAAAGCATGGGCATGACATGTCTACCATAGGCCTCAGCCATAACTGGTGCATTCACAAAAATCATGAACTGGTGCTGACCATTGCCCAAGCACAGTAAGGCATCCACTAGACGGTGCATTCACTCCTAAAGCACATGCTGCACACAGCATGGGCAAATCAGACTGCACACAGTCGCATCCGCACGTCAGGAACATTTTCATACGCAGCGCACACTAGCTACGATCCATAAGCTCGTTGAGCTTGTTGGCCAAAGCCCCTTGGGAGTCCAGCAGTTCGCCCTTCCAGCACACTGCGCACCTAGTCCACTTAAAGTAAGCACCCTCAAGCCACCTGTACACAGTGGTCGTCCGTCGACCGCAACGGGTCCTACATGCTGACTGGTCGCCCTGGGCTCGATGCAACATCCTGGATTTGACGTGTTGCCAAGGTTCGTTGATCTCATAGTCCTGGTTGACTCCGCAACTCGAAACCAACTGTTCCTCATCTTCACTGTTCCCTGAAGAGCTAGAGCTCGAAGAGGAAGATGAGCTTGTCTGCGCCAAGGCAGCCTCCTGCATAGGTGTCGCAGGCACACTACTTGCATGCACAATCGGAGACGGTGCACGATCACCGGGCGTCGGCGAATGTTCTGAAGGTGGGCTTGCTGAACCGTTGTCAACCCGATCCCAAGAACTGAAGTCTGGATCATGCTCAAATGCCGATGAGTCAGGGGCACGGTTGAGTGAGCGGTAGTGCTCCAACTCGCCGTGTTCATCGAGATCATCTCCTCGTCCCGTCCCGCTAGCTGCAGGACCTTCAGCTTGCACGGCCGGAGCTTCGAAGGGGCATGCATCCTTGGGGTCATCGAGGAAGGAATCCCGAAAGGCACGCAGATTCTCGTCAGCATGTGAGGCAAGCCATCCCGAACGGGTCGCATCGGGCTTGAAAATGTTTGTGCGTATCTCCCATAACATTCTACGGTAGGCCCTCAGCGGTGCGCTCAACAACTCTCGGCTGTAACAAGCAAGGGAACTGGAACCTGTCGCATGATGACCTAGCAAAAGGCCTTCGCGCTCTCCAAAGCCCCGTCTCCCTGTCCAGGCCAAGGTTGTCCCTTTGAGCACATGAGACGTGCGACGGCTTTCGCCTTCCAAGCCTAGGGCATTGCAAAGCATCGAGCCCGCTTCACTGGAGGTGCATCTCCTCTTACACAGCTTGCCGGAGCTGTCCGGGGCACGCACGAGGGGCCCAAAAGGCACTACCGACCAATCAACCCCAAGCCTCTGACCCGCCTGCCACCAAGCCTTGACCCAATTGGCATCGGTCACACCTGGGAAGGGTGCAACAAGCGGCATGGCTCGACGCTTGGTCCGCACTGTGTTGCTGGTCTTATGTTCGCATGTCCTCGCCTCGACGAAACCTGAGGTACAATCAGCATCATCGAAGTCGATCCAGATCGAATTAACTTTCTTCAGGTCCGACCATCTCGATCTGCTGTAAAGAGCAAACAGCTCGCCCCCAAGAACATATGTATCAACATCACAAAGAGCCTCGCCAGCCACAGTCTTTTCAAGCCTTGCTACAAGCTCAACTTTCAGGGGCTCCTGTTGTTTCACCTCGGGCTTTTCACCCGCAAGTCTCCGGGCCCTGCCCTGCAGCCGTCGGTCGTTAAGCAGATCATCGCAAAATGGCACATCCATCACATGGTGAGCGAAATTGATGGCCTCAAAGAGACTGCTCACCGCGCTTGAAGACTCTCCAAGTGACTTCACGAAGGCAGTAACAGACTCTCTATCCCACGGCCATGTAACACTTCTCTCCTTTTGATGCCACCTGAGACATCGCAACAAAGCATTGGCGCGTTTGATCGCTGTACGGGGCGAACGCAGGCCGAAGACGTCCCTGAGTAGTTCGTCCCTGGCTTTTTCACCTTCTGCAACCAAACACTGTGCAGCCTGCACACCGACTGAACCGGGATCCTCATTGGCAAGGGTGAAGATGCAGCACCACTTATTGATAGCTAAAACCCACAAATGCTCTTCCTCGTCCTCAACTGGCACATCTGCTCTCGTATGAAAAGATCTCTCAAACAAGCTGGCAGGTGCAGCACGCACACGAGCTGCTTTGCCCTCTGTCGAGGGTTCGGAACCTGAGGCATCAGGAGGAGCAGGCGCCCTGGGCTGTGCAATGGCAGGCTTGGGTAATAAGCCATCTCCAAAGATGCAAGACATGACACCCAATTCCCAAGGCAACTTAGGGAGAGAATTGCCCAGACCACTGATCCTGGCTTGAAGCAACATGCGATCAATGTCAGTGTCACAGAGCCTCGCCTCACCCCCCCCCCCGAAGAAGAGGAGAGGCCGGGGAAACTAGGCGGCTCGCCAGCAGGCGGCATTCGGTGAAGCTGAGTACTCTAGCGACGCGAAAAGCAAGCGCAAAACGAGCTGAGTGAAGCGGCCCACGTGACCTCTGATGCAGATCCTGGCGATGACAGAAGCTGCTGCTCGAATTGCCTGATGCGCCTTTCACAAGCAGACACGTGGGCCTCAAGAGTGTTTACCTGCAACTGAAGCTCGTAGAGATGCCTGCTGATTTCGCTCACAGTACTAGGAGAGTCGCTGGCACTGTGCACACTGGAACCTGCAGCCAAAGCGTCTGCAAAGTCCATCCGACTGCCCCACAATGGGCAGTCTTGCACAGTGGGCTAGCCCCAGCCTTTGAGTTAGCACCTGGGGGCTTTTAGCAAGCAATACAGCCTCTAGAGAGCCTCACACAAAAATTTCTCCCAAGCTGCACACAGCCACAACTGCAACATCAAACATGTATGTTGAGCAAGTCGTCAAACACCACATGCTTCAAGTCATGCAAACATGTCGCCAGCAAATCGTAAAGATCAAAAATTAGCAAAGGCGACACCGACAGAGAATAGTTTGGGAAATAAAATGCTGTCTCGCAAGCGAGAAGGCTTATGTCTTCTGCCCGGCATACGCCCGGCCAAAATGTGTTCACAGGTTCCGAGCAGGCACCGCGGGGGCCCTTTTGTGAAATGCCGTGGGTGCATTGCATGGCCCAAAACAATAACGTGCCCAAGCACGGAATTTTGTCCAGTGCGCCACGGAATACACCAATAGAGTGTTGTGGCAATTGTAATACCGGTGCCGTTGGCTTGCACCGGCCCACTGATCAGGCCTGCCCAGGTGGTGCGACTGTTGTGTGCCGCCTTGACCTCTTGTTTCGCCAAGCACGCGGCATCTACGCCGGTGCTGAGCTTTCCATTCCTGCTGTTAAGCCTCTTTTGGCCGACTGGGCCTGCGGACGAGTGCATACTGACCTGCAGGGGTTAGCACCTGGTCAATATACCGGTGCTGCAGCGCAGCTCTGTTTCTTGTACTGCCGTACTGTTCCGGGTGGTTGGGCTGCGTGCCCCCGCCACAAATACTGTTCCATTGCACCTGGAAATCATTCCGGTCTGCAAGCTTTCCTTTCCCATGGTGAGTTTGGAGACTTCGGTCTCCTTGCTTGCCCTTTCCTGTCGAGTGCCCGGGGCGTTTTCAGCTGGCCCCACCGGCCCAACATGCCACTGTGCTGGCCACCATTGATATGGATCAGCGTGCCACGGTGGCGCCCTCGTGCTCTGTGTGGCTGTCGCATCGGAGAGGCAGCTAATCCTGGCCCTGCGAGCCAGACTAAGATTTCAGCCTATTTCGGTTCGGATCCGAAGGCTGCGCCTACTGATACGGCCTCAGCCCAGGATACCTGTGTTGTGGCCGTTGTCAACCCAACCAGTGTTCTGCATAAAGTGCCTGCGTTCCTTGAAATCGGTGCGGATGTTCTTGCCGTGGCCGAGACCTCTGCGGTTGAGCAAACACAACGGGTGACCAGCAAGGTACTCGCCCACCATCAATACCGCGCCCACTGGGGCCGTGCGGTTGCTAGTCACACCAGGGAGGGCGAAACGAAACCGAGTTTGCGGGGGCTCGCCGCCGGCGTTGCCCTGTTCTCCCGACTCCCCTCCCGGGCTTCGCGACCTGCTTTGCCTGAGCCTGCAGCAGAAACCTGCCGCCTGTGTGAGGCTTTCGTCCGGTTTGGAGTGCTGGAGGTGCGCATGCTCACCATCTATTGTTGGCCGCTCTCCCAGCTTGATGCGATGGAGCGCAATGAGCATCTGCTCTCCTTGGCCTTGGCCCGCGCTACCTCCTCGGCTGTCCCGTGCATTGTCGCTGGCGATTTCAATCAAGATGTGCTGCAGCTTCCGTCGGGGCAAACCTTTGCAAGGTTGGGATACAAGGATGTCTTTACATCCGGCCCTCCTTCACTTGTGGGTTTCCGCCTGGGTCGTCAGCGACCGGCAATTGTTCGACGCACATGACCCCTTGTGTTTCCGGCTTCGTCTGTCTACCAGCAGACCGTGCCGCTATGTGTGGAATCTACCCAGAGCCTGGACTGGCCTAGGGGTCACCATGCAAGAGGGACTTTGAGGATGCATTCCGACCGTTGTCCCAGCCCCTGCTGAAAAGCGCAAAGCAGTGCGCATCAGTGGATGACGTTGCGACTGCCCTGTTGCAGTTTTCTGCTGCCTGTGAGCAAGCTGTCGACTCTGCATTGCGTGTCAAGAATCAGCGGGACCCAGTCCGCCATCCCATCACACACCTTACCAAGGCGTACCGTGGCCGGTGTGTTGCCCGACAAGCCATCAAACGAGAGCTCCCTTGCCTTGTGCGGCCGGACCGCCATGGCGGCTATACACCAAATGAGGAGGTTACTTCGGTCCTGGGTCGCTTAAAGGTCCGACAGGTTCGCCGGGTTGCAACCCTACACAGGGGCCTTTCAAAGTTCCACCGTGACCGGGCGTCCTCCCCGGCATTGCAGGCCCAGCTTGAGCGTGAGTGGAAGGCCATTGACCGTGTCAAGGGGTACCCCCCGACTTTTGCGGGCTGGGTGCTTGGAATTGCTTCGTTCACTTCATACCCGGTTGGCCTTCCCTCGCTTGATTGGTTGGGTGATCTGCTCCAATACTTGAAGTTCGATTGCGATGGCTTGGTCCGCCAGCAAGCTGCCACACGCAAAGCCAATTTCCAGTACCGGGTGCAGCTTGACTGCCAAGAGGGCTCCTCGCGTGCAGGTTTCAAGGCTGTCCGCCCACCGGCGCCGCCCCCTTTCTTGGAGGTGCCGTGTACAAAAACTGTGCTGGCCCGCAGGGAGCCCGATGCCGCGTCAGATGAGGGTTCCACGTTTTGGTTTCAGCTGGACACGGCCCGCCAGCTTCGCGTACCTGGGCCGGCTCTCCTCGATGAAGTGCCGTGCCAGCTTCTTGAAGGTGGCAAGGGCGCCGTCAAAATCGCTGGCCGCGACCTTCCCCAGAGTGGCCAGTTACACCAGGCGTATGTCGCCACCACAGTCGATGAGTTGCATGAGGCCTTTGCCGACTTTTGGGGGCCCCTTTGGCAGCGCGACAAAGGTGCATCCAGCTCCTCGCTGGACCAGTGGCCCGAAATCCAGCGACGACTACTCGCAGATTCTTTGCCACTGCCTCCTCTGCATGTGCGCTCCTTCGCGCCAGAACTGTGGCAACAGGCGATCAAGCGAATGTCCAGCCGTAAGGCTACTGGCATCTGTGGGTGGGCACCCGCCGACCTCAAGATGCTTTCCTGCCAGGCTATTGAGGTGCTGAATCACATTTTCCACCAAGCGGTCACTTGCGGGCTCCCACCTGATATGCTCCTTGCGCGGGTTGCTGTCCTCGCCAAGACAGACTGCCCTGAGACCATGCGCCAGAGCAGACCAATCACCATCTTCAGTGTGCTCTACAGAGTGTGGTCGTCGGTACTGACACGCCAGGTTCTGCACCAATGGGCAGCTTTCTTCCCCGCCTCTGTGTCTGGCTCCATGCCCGGCAGGTCTTGCCGTGACACAAGCTACCGCCAGCAACACCGGATCGAGTGCTCCTTGCTTAGTGGTTCCACATTGCTGGGCGGATCCATTGACATTGTGAAGTGCTTCAATCAGTTGGCCTGGCCTGTTGTTGCGGCTCTCCTTTGCCGGTTGGGACTCCCGGAGCCGGAGGTGCATTTTTGGATTAACTGCATCAGGAAGCATAGAAGATGTTCTGTGTTCTACGGCTCTGTGTCTGCCGGCATTGAGTCGTACAATGGTGCACCAGAAGGCGACCCCTTCAGTGTCGCGGCCATGGCCGCAGTGTGCTTCTGGGCTGATCGATGGTGTAGGCACGAATCGGTTGCCTTTGAGAGCTACGTTGACAATTGGTCATGGTCAGCGTCGACACGGGCTGGGCTGAGTCACGCCCTACCATGCGCTGTCCACCCGATTGATGTGGGCAAGTCCTACCTGTGGGCCACGCAACGGACCGACCGGGTCTGGCTCCGAAACAATCTTGCTGGTTTGTTCCCCGGCCTTCCCCCGCCTGGTTTAGTCACTGAGGTTAGGGACTTGGGGGTTGCGTTTAAGTTTGATGCTTGTGCGCACGCCACCAGCCGTAATCACCGCATCACTGACGGCCACCAGAGACTTGCCAGACTGCAGCAGCAGCCACGTCCGGCGCTAAACAAGGCGTACATCGTGCAGGCTTCTGTGTGGCCGGCGTGCCTGTTCGGCTCGGAAGGCAATGTCCACACTGTGGCGGAGTTCCAGAAGTTGAGAGGCGCTGCGGCCCGTGCCATTGTGGGCTCCTACAAGGTGCTATCGCCGCACTTGACGTTTGCTGCCCTTGCGTGCAAGGCCATGGACCCAGAGTTGTACTGCTTGTACCAGAAGCTTGCGGCTTTTCGCCGATGTTGCATGCTGGAGCCGGACACCGCCCTTAGCGTTCTGCAAGTTGCGTTGGCCCATGGCACCTCACGTGTGCACGGGCCGGCCACTGCCCTCAGGGTTGCCTTGAACAGGGTTGGGCTCACGCTGACTGATGATGCTTGTCTTAAAGGGCTGGACAACACGAGGGTGTCCCTGAGTCAGTGTAGCACTTCGGCTCTCCGGGATTTGCTCTTGCGTAGCTGGGCTATTGTGGCCAATGACAACACTCGGCACCGAAATGGACTCCAGCAGATGGCGCCCATCCTGTCCACGATCACTGTGAGTTTGCTGGAGGGCCAAGGCGCTGGTGCGCAGGCCGTCCTACTGCGCCATGTCACAGGCTCCTTCTCCTCTGAGGCGGCCAAGGCTCTTTGGGATGCTGAGAGTTCCGGCGCGTGTCCACTTTGTGGCGCGAAGCAAACTAAGGAACATAAGATCTTGCACTGCCCGGCGCTAGCGGACGTTCGTGCTGCTTGGCTCCCGTATCTCGATACTGCCTTTCGATTGTGGCCAGAATGGATACATTGCCCCGCCGCCACTTACCCAAAGGACCTGGAGGTTCCCCAGCTCGTTTTCCACACGCGAAGCTTGCCGCTGCCGCGAGTTGACTTCAGCAGATGGCCTGTTCCAGGCGAACGAGGCTTCCTCCGCCTCTTCACTGATGGGTCGTGCAGCCATCCGGATCTACCTCTGGCCTCTCGAGCGAGCTTTGCGGTCGTCCTGGATACGACCTCTACGGATACCGAGATACCTGAGATCCTGGCTGATTGGAGGCGTACACAACGGGCCCCGCACCAGCTGGCCGTGATCTGCCAGGGTTTAGTCCCCGGAGCTCAATCTATTAACAGAGCCGAGCTCTGTGCTGTGATTCAGGCGCTGAGGGCTGCTCAGCACTCTGGTTTCGAGGATGTTGAGATTTGGACGGACAGCCAGTATGCTATCACATGTTGGCAGGCGGCGGCTGAAGGCCGTGTTGGAGGCCACCCCGACCTTTCCTTCTGGCTACTGCGTTTGTACCGCCCTTCGGTGCGACTCTGCAAGATTGCTTCACACCAAAGACTGGAGGACCTCTGGGGCATCCCGTGCTGGCTTGCAGCCGGCAACGACACCGCGGATGTTGCGGCGAAGGCGGCGCTCCAGGATGAGTACCAGTTTGTTGTCGAAGGATTGGACTCCGCTGCAGGGCAGCTTAGAGAACAGCGTGATCTTTTGCGACTGGTGTGGAAATATTTGCTGCAATTGTCGGACACTGAGAATACACGGATCAAGAAACTTCGCCAGCAGGAGGCTGTGGCGCTCAATCAGGCCGTCCCGCTGGAACGCACCGGCTCCTTGACCAAATGGTTGGCGTTGAACGAGGGTCTGTTCGTGACGTGGGAGCTCCCGCCCCCGTCACGAGAGACTCTCCTTGCCTGTTCCTGGCCACCATGGTACACATTGCCCATCTGGTCTTGGGCGCGTCGCCTCGAGTGGCGTGCCACCGAACCAGTTAACAGATGTGTTCCCGGTGTCTCCTATCTTGAGCTCCTTGTTGACTTCGTGCTCACTACAGGTGTTTTGCCACCGGACCAACTTGCTGCAGCTGGCCGCGACGAACGGGCGCCACGACAGTGGCACCGTACTTTCTCCGTGCGTACATTGGTGCACAATCTGGTTGAAGCGGTTGGTCAACTTGAACGACTTTCTGGTCATCAGTTGTGGGGCAGTCGACGGAAGAAGGTTTTTTCGCTGCGAACCTTGCAAGTTGAACATCCCCGCCATGGTCTTTTACACCGTCCTCACCTACACCAGGCTGAGGAGGTTGGCCGGGTGCTGTGCGAGACTCTGCATCACGATACAGTGGAAGTACTGCAGCGGCAGGTTCGAGAGTACACTGGCCCAGTGTTTCACGACGCGGAGCTCCAGAAGACCTGGTCCTCCCTTACGCGCGCTAATCGAGCGGCGCTCTCTTTTTCCCTGCGGAAATCTCGCAGGTGATGGCATCCGAAGTCAGGACATAAGGTGCGGCGTCGCTTCTGCAGGCCCGCGCCTTCTCTCCCACCAGTTAAAGGTTTTGGGGTTTGGGAGTCTGGGGTTTAGGCTCTAGGGCCCTAGGGTTTTGGGCTTTAGGGTCTAGGGTTTAGGGTTTAGGGTCCAGGCTTTGGGGTGTAGGGTCTAGGGTCTAGGGTTTAGGGTGTAGGGTCTCGGCTTTGCGGTTTAGGGTTTAGGGTATGGGGAAGCCTAAAATAGACCAGGGTTGTGAGATAGAGAATTCTAAAGTGGCTTCGTTGAAGCAGCACCCAGCCTAATAAAGAGGTCGCAGCAAGAAGCAATAATACTATGTCCCTGTATTGGTTTCTCATAAGTAGGTATACGGGTGAGGTTTGGGGTTTATTCGAGCCGGTTTCGGGCTTTTGGGGGCTTGGGAGGTAAGGCTTTAGGTTTAGGGCTTCAGGGGACAAGGATTTACAGTTTTTCATGCTTCAGAAGTTCAGGGCAGTTTAGAGCATCTCTGACGGCCACAGGCGCTGCGGCTCCAGCCAAGGCTGTCAAGGTGCGAGGGTGCAGAAGCAAAAACCCTTCTGCTACAAGTGTATAAAAACTTGAACCCCAGTATCGGGGCTCTGACGAGTAGAATAGGGTTTTGGGGTTTCTTGTACTTAAATCCTTATAGTAGAAGGAGCACCAAAATCGTATTGGTAATAACTCAAGCCCCTATGTAACTTCCCAGACCACGAGCCCTCAATTCCTAAACCATGAATCTGCGCCCTAGATTCCGAATCTCCGGTCGATCAGGAGATTTCCGGAAGCTTCGGATTTACGGGATGCGTCGTCGCTCACCCAATGACATTCCATAGCTCCCTAATCCCCAAACCCCTAGGCCCTAAACCTGAAACCCTAGTCCTTGAAACCAGGGTACGAAAGTACTGCAGAGTTTTTGTGATTAGCAGGTAGAGAAACTCCAGTCTTGGAGATGCAACACATCTGCGCTAGTATAGAAAGCATGAAAAAGTTTGTTTCTTATGATACCTATACGATGCAGGAGCCCCAAAACCGTACTCTAACTATGAAGGCCCCTACATTACTTTGTTCAGGCTCCTTCATAGAAGCTTCTAGAGTTTGGTACCGAGTTTGCATGCGCAGGGCTTTGTCGTTCAAAAATTCACGGCTTCAGGCTTTCTTGACGAGCTTACGGTTTCCTGAGGGTTTGGGGTTTAGGGTCTAGGGCCGCGTACTAGAAGCCCCGATTGACACCCGTGAGGCCGAGAAGAAGAAGCCCCTTGGCAGACTGTTTGGTTTGCAGGACTTTGGGTTTAGGGCTTCAGGGTGGGTTTAGGGTTTAAGATCATGTTCATGGCATTTCAACATGCCTGCAGAGCTTGCTGTTGTAAACCCTCAGCCCTGAACCCTAAACCCTCTAAGCCCAAAGCCCTAAACCTTAAACCCCAAACCGGACGAGGTTGTCCGAGTTGCGAGAGCGTAAACCCCAAACCGGAAACCCACAACCTGAAGCCCAAAACCTGAAACCCAAAACCCTAAAGCCTATAAACCTCGTCTGGCTTGTCCGAGTTGCGAGAGCGTAAAGCCTATAAGCCCTAAGCCCTATAACCCCTAAGCCCTAAACCCTAAACCTTAAAACCCAAAGCCCTGAACCCTAAATGTGGCTTGGCTCCGAAGCGGGGGATTTCTGGGTCCGCATCTACGATTCTTCTCTCTAGTTTAATACTTCGGGTTTAGGGTTCAGGGTTTAGGTTTAGGGTTTGGGGGATAGGGTTTAGGGCCAGGGTTTAGGGTTTAGGGTTTGTCTTGATAGTTAAACTAGGGTTTTGGTGGTTGTCGGGCTTAAGACTGTCGTTAGGCCAGAAAGTTGGAACGTGGATTTAGGATGATGAGTGCTGGAATTTCCTATTCTTTACTTTGAGGGCATGTGGATAATGATTTTCCAGCTATCTGGCTTCTGCTGTAGGGGAGTTTGTCAGATAAGGTTTCTAGAGGCATGGGCCGACCCGAAATCGTGAACGGACAAAGCCCTATGCGGGTAGCACGTACCAAACCGTTAAACCTGAAGCCCAAAAACTTTCAGCCCAAACAAAGCCCTAAACCCTAACCCAAGACTCAAAACGCAAAACCCTAAGCCAATAAACGAGTAGCGTGTGCAGGGCTGTGGGTAGAGCTCGGAGGTTGCAGGCCTTAGCAACATGAGCAGAATGAGGAAGCTTATTATTGTTGCTTTATAATGATGATGAGGATGAGAACATTGAGCTTGATACCTCAGCACGGCCAAGCCTAGAACCCTGCGCGAAAATGCTTAATCATCGAATTCCTCCAACCCAGCACCATTGCTATCATAGACAATGACATGGAAACTGAAGTGCTGACCGGGCTGTACGGGGATTACTGGTATTACTGATTACTCCCGCAAAAACGGAGGACCAAAGGCTTCAGCACTGAAGTTCTTGCATCTGCTCAGGTAGATTGTGCTTTTAACCCACGCTTCGCGAGCCTCTGTCTAAGGCAGCTTCCTGTTCTCCTGGGACAAGAGGCAACATGTCTAAGCTGGTCATGAGATTCAAAATTGAGTTTATGAGATTCTAGGTTTGGGTTGGCTATCGGATTTTATCGGGTATTGACCGTGCTCCAGACGATTTTGGAGCGTTTCATCAGGTTGCGGGTTTAGAGATCCCGGCCTTTCTCTATGTATTCCCTACCTTTTGGGTTTCGGGTTTCGCTACCGCGCACCTCCAACTCGAAACCGAATCCGAACCCTGGAAAACCGAAAAAACTGATGCCCCCCCCCCACGAGCTGTCAACTGCAAATTCTCTACTAGCTGTTAATCTACCTATCTCTTGATCTCTTTATCTCTTTATCTATCTAGGCAAAGAAGACGAAGACGCAGGAGGCTGCCAAAAAGAGGGAGGAGGCGGAAAAGGCCCGCTGTTGTGGTTTTCTCCGGTTAGGATATTGCAGCCAGTTCGGCCCTTTCATCAATTTCGAATCCACATGTGAAGCACGATAATGGCCAACCTGTGCAAGCAGTTCGTTTGCAACAGTTCTTCAGATTTCATCAGGTCATTAGGGAGCCTATTCGTATCCGAAGGCGAACTCGGACTCCAACATCCCCTGGGGTATGCTCTTGTTTGTGTACATCAGTTTGCAGAGGATCCAAGGCGCCATACCTAGCTCCAGCGCTCTCGATCAGCTTTCTGAAGTGTTTATATATACAGCTCATCTCACGCGTCGCGTTGCGGCTCGTGCGAAATCGCCATGAGCCGGAGGCTCGGGTCCGAAGGCATTTGTCAATGGAGGCCCCTAAACTCTAAACCCAAACCCCTAACAAGCTGTCCTATGAACTAAGAAGCTTAAACCCCAGAGGCCTCGGCCCTGAAACGGCTGCAGAGCCACTGCCTGCGGTCGCGGTGCCTCGTCGCAGCCTTTGGGTCGGGAGCTCTACCTCTAAGGGGCCACTTACTCTTGGTAGTTATGTTGCCCCCTCCAACCCCGTCTGTCGACACCCAAGCCTTCCATTCCCGTCCTATATCCTGTTAGATCCTCTTGGACCCCTAATCAAACGACCCTCTAAGCCACCTTACTCAATCCCCATACTTACACTCAAGTCAGACCACATTGTAGGTTCCGGCAACATCCTGTATCAGTGGTTTCTAATACTGGTAGTACCGGTACCAGTAGCAATAAAAATCGAGTAAGACTTTGCGTACCAGTACTATGATGGGCTTTGGGGTTTCAGGAAGCTGTAATTGGGACTTTGTACAAGGCTTAACAGTATAGGTCGGAGTGTCACGAGGTGCCCGGCAAGATGGAAACCTAGCACAAGATAGCCCTTTGTGAGAAAGGGTGAAATTGGTGAGTCTGCATTTCAGTTCAGAGTTTGAGGCATTGAATTTCGCTCGACGTAAAGAACCCGCCTCAACCCCTTTCGAAGGCAATCCGTGGTGATTCAAAGAAGGGTGGCAGGCAAGGGAGGCTTTGAGGCTCAGGACGTAGCTAAGTTAGGTAGCAGTATGAGCAGGGCATAGTTTCCACACCGTTGGCTGAAGTCGTTTTGCTAGGACTTGTGTTCCGGAATGCAGGCGTAAAGTGAAGTATGGGCATACTATATCTTCTCTGCCGTTCTCTCTCGCACTTCGGGCAGAAGCAGAGTGGAAGAGCCACAGTTCGCCAGGACGTTGGAGATGATTATGCTGCACGCAGGCAAACAACATGAATAACGGCAGGTGCATTATGTCGATTGTTATTTCTTTCATCCTCAAAGCATGACAACCTTGCTGCTGCCAGCAGTAGGGGTCCCAGGGGTTCTGAGAATCAACATGATGACATCAACTTCGGGTCGTAAGTGCCCCTTGACACTGACCCGAAAGCCGCACTGTTTCACAGCCCACCTGAACTTCCTAAACCCTAAACCCTAAACCCAAACCTAGGCCGACTTCATAGGGGCCTGCGAGCGTCAAAGTACCTTCGACTATCAGGTCGCCGTGCTTCTTGACTGGAAGTTCTGATATAGGGAACGTTTAGGGTTTCAGACTTCAGGTTGAAGGTCACAGGCCTATCAGGCTTTGGGTCTAGTGTGTAGATGTGAGCTAAAGTTTAGGAGTTGCGGCGGGCTGATTGAACCCATCATCGAAGCTGCAGGGGGATATGGGGGATATCGGGCTACGGCAGCCCGTCGTGAAGGGTATAGGGGGGGCTTCGGGCCTTCTGAGGTTTCGGTGAGTAGGGTTTAGGGTTCAGGGTTTGGGTTTCAGCGTTTCGGGTTTGGGGTTTAGGATCCTTGTCTTTGCTGAAGAGTTTGGGGCTTCGAGCTCATTGGGGTTGGGATGGACCTGTGGCCAGCCAAACTCTGAAATGGATGGCAAGCAGCCCATGTTTTGATAGGATAGATCGTCACCTTTGCCGGTGTGCGTTGCTCCTATACAAAGGAGTCTCGGATCCCGCTGCGCCAAATAACAACAGAAGTCTATCAGGATGCTCCACTGCCGCGATCGACATTTCCTAGAGCTGGCGGCGGAGAGGTACCTAGACGCTAAGGCAATTTACATCAGCTCGATATTCCCCGTGTATGTATATATATATACACACATCTATCTATATATATACATATGTGTACATATATATACATATATATATATATCTATGTATGTACCCTCATGGCCCCTTACGCTGGTCCTAGTACAGGTTAGGGTAGAGTGCAGGGCTTAGGGTTCAAGCTGGTTGTGTAGGGATTGGGGGTTTAAAGGTTTGGGTTTAGGGTTCTAGTGTTTAGGGTACAGGGGTTTTTCGAAAAACAAGTATTAGTATAAGGGATTCTGTTAGGATATTTTGGGATGACGTATGACCGCTTCTGGTAGTTACGGGATTTCGGTAATCCAGCAACCCTCAACATCCTGTGAATAACATATGAGTTTGAATCGGTCTTCCCTAAGCCCCAAACTCTAAGCCTTGAACTCTAGATGACTGAATTCACCTGAGTGTACACCTGTGACCCTGCTTCGTCGAATGAGCCATGCAGGAGGCAAAAAAGCCCTGAACTCTAGCCAAATCCCCTTACCAGTGCAGGTCCTTGTTGCAGCGCCAGGATCCCGAACCCTTTCCCGGTTAAGGGTTCAGGGCTTTAGGGTGCAGGGCCAACATTACTACCTACACTGAAGTGTGTAGAAAAACGCTTTGTCAGCGTTTGATGGTGATTTGCTGCCATTATTCTAGTGGTGTCAAGGTATTATGCCGAGTAGGGCTTTTGGGTTGATCATGCGAGACCCGTTGCGGCTTTGCGCTCCCTGCTTCCGAACTTTGTAGTCTCTCTAAATTGGGGGACTACAATATAGAATATAGACCTCAAAATACTATACTCCTTAATATCTACCCCTAATCTTGGACAGCCCTATCACTATAATGTTTCCGCGAATATGTAGGGGGCGAAAATTTTGTGTTGTTCCAGATTTTAGCGTGTGGGGTTTTAGGTTCCGAATCGCTGCCGAGGCTGGGGCGTAGCGCGATGTCCGACCAGAGCACAGTGATTGGACGACGCGCTCGAGTGAGCTTGCGGCAGGTCTGAAGACAGCAGCTCCCAACAATTGGGGGTGTGGGGGTGTAATTAGGGTCTAGGACGGTGTAGGGTTTAGTGTGCTTAGCGCTTTCAAGCCTAAGCCCTTCACCTTTAAATCCCTTAAATCCCCATCGGCCGCCGACAATCACGGTGATGTTGGGTAACTACCCCAACTGCCAAACATCTCACCCCAGCTACATAAGGTCCTCATTGAGAGGGTTCGGATTACCAAAGCCCTCTTCTTAACCAAGCGCCTGTGGCCCCACAGCAGCCTGAGAAACGAATGGCCCTTATTCATCTCCAGTTTTGGTTCTACTGAAACATCCCTGGATGTTGACCCTTCACTCTTTCTTCTCCCACCCCTTATTGTCTCACATGCGCCCTTTCAGGCGTAGTCGTCCAAGCCTCTGCTCGGAGTGTTTGCCTTTTGAGTTTCGTTGACAGAGAGAAAGGCCGATAGTGGTTTCCACTTTTGACAATTCCCGAGCCCTTACAAACCCTAAGCACAGAATGCCCTTGCAACCCATAGTATCAACCAGCAAGTCATTGCCTTAAACCCAGTAAGAATTTCCTTTTTTTTCATGTTCTCTCCCATGCGACTTTTCATTTATTTGCCATTCCCTACGAAAAGCCAGCCACCCTAAACTCTAACCTCCAAGCCAGAAGCAGAAGCCCCAAACCGTGTTGGGGGGTGAGTACCTAGGCTTGCTCGTGGGCAGTGTTGATAAGGGACGAAAGAACATGGAGCCATTGATGTAGAAGCCTGCTAGCCACTGTTAAATCAGGTTTTGGTTCTGGTGATGTCTGGCGGCGACCCTAGTTGTTCTCGAAAAGACTGCATTCCAGCCACCAGGGCGCTCGTGCGCTTTACTTGCGGAAGCCAGCGAAGAAAGTTTCGTTCTGAGAAATATGTCATTGTTCTTCGGTATGTACCTGTTGTCGTACTTCTGTTATGAGCCGTTCAGGGTCGGGCTGGTACTTGAATTAGCAAAAGTCGAAGCGCGTTAAAGAATGGTTATATAGGGGATCATATCGGGGAGTACCATAGGGGCTATTAAGGGGGATACTAGAAGTTTAGACTTTGCTCAAATGCTGAATTCTGCCCACCCGAAACCCTAGCAAGCAGGCATTGGACGCGCAGTCTGGCAGTCATAGTCAAGTGGGGACCTCCATCGTCACGAGGCCCCGGACCTGCTGGAATACCCTAAACCCCAAGCCACAGGCTATCCTAAACCCAAAGCCCGTCTAAGCTCTAAACCCTAAGCCCGAGCCGAACCCTAAGACTCTCCCAACCCGCACGCCCATCGGGTCAGAGTCAGCACCATCATGATCTTTGGATGTGTCTTGCATCCTGGTTTTAAGAAGAAGATAAGTTCACCCCCACACTTTCCGTAGCATCGGCAGGTCATGGCAGGACAGAAGTAATGCTCGGACAAAGCGTTCCGAAACCATGTGGCTCCATCCACCTGAGCCTACTTCCGGGCTCATAGTTTGAGAGTGTTCAGTACTGGGCGTAACCAGCTAGAATGCCGGTATATGGAGTCACAGCAAGGGCTGGCGCAGGCCCGGTAAGCTGAAAAGGCTGCGAGTTGCGAGTTTGCCGACCTTATTTTAAGGGGGATATTGGGGCCATTTAGGGATTATGGCTTCCGGTCACCAAGATTGGGGGGTACCATTTGGGAGGTCCCCATAATATAGATTGTAGTTTTTTAGTGGTCTATACGGGGGCCCTGCTGTTTTGCGAAACTACAACATCAGCTTCCATGTGTATTTTCGGGACGGTACGCCGAAACCCTAAATCATAAACTCTAGCCCCCAGGGGTTATGCTGTATGGGTTTCGGGATTTAGGGTTTAAGGTCCTGCAATTGCTGGCTAGGAAATCCATGACAGAATTCCTGCAGGGCAGAAGGACAACTCAGAGGCTTGATAGAAGCACAAGATGCTAAGTACTTACCAGGACCCGCCTGGTAGCTTGAAATTGTGGCATATAGTCCCTGATTGGAAAGGTTGCTAAAATCTAGGCCGGTGTATAAGCTTACTTGTGGTAAGTTACCGCCCATGCCCCCAAATTACTTATTGCAGTATGGGGTATATTAGGTGGCAGTTAGCGTCAAGCTGTGGGTAACCGGGCTTGTATGGTTTCTCTATTCGGATTCGAGTACTCCACATGCAAGGCGCAACCGTGCCCGGAGTCGTAAATCCTTGAGCATGTGACGCCAAAGCATCGATCGTACAAGGTCCCAGGTAGAATTTTAATAGTTACAGAAATCATGCTGAGGTTTGTTTGACGTTCCTTGTACCCGGACACTACAAGGGCTCTAGGACCAATAAACCACCTGTAGCTAGACCATCCATCTACCCTCTATACACCCACTATTGTGGGCGACATGCCGATATTCAAGGGTACTATTACTAGGAGGATCCTTGTGTAAACCCGTCCTCATTATTCTATACCCTTGTCTATTCCTGTATTTTGTGGTTTAGGGTTTAGGGTTGATATCCCCACATAGGCCTTTGGAGCGGTCCCTGCAGACTTGTGATGACTGGTGCAGCGCCGCCTTCGGGGAGGATTTAGGGTTAACGGCGTTAGGGGTTCATAGGTTGGCCAATGGCAGGTGATATTTTTTCTCCGCGTCCATGCAAAAAGCCCCGAAGCATGATCAACCTCAACGCTGAACACAGTTAACCATCACATAAACCTGGCAACGCCAAAGGGCCTACAAAAGTTGCACTCCCTAAACATGTGATTGGGGGCGCACGCGCCCTAAATCTTAGACATCCCTAGTATCCGAATGATATGTTGGTCTATGTTGGTGGTGAGTATGCACCCTCACTTCGAGACGCACCTATGTGTCCCTATAGTGGGAGATTCTTGGGAAGAAATAGTCTTTGTCTGGTACGGACCGCAATCCCTATGCATTCTCGAAAAGCCATAACGAAAGCACTTTCATACGGCTCGTAAATGTATCGCAGTAAAACCAGTATGACCAGGCCACGACCTGGAGACTGGGGCATTTCGCCCTCGGGAGGCAGTTTTGGGGTCGGGATTCGGGGTTTAGGTGTTAGGATAGTGCGTACTTAGCCTCAGCATCTCGCCACGAGTGCGATGTGCTTGGGGATTCTGGCCGGGCGAGCACTAATCAAGCCTGTGGAAAAGGTGTTAGGATTTGAGTTTGTCGGGTTTAGGCACTGGAAGCCTGAGGAGTACTGGGGTCCGGGGAAAGGAGGAAGTCCTCCTTTCCAAGCAATGTATATGGCCCCACGAATATTTTCAAAGATTGCACTCACGGAGACATGTTCACAGGGGGCTGGCTGATATTTGGAAGAGGGGTGCCTCGCCACTGTGGCAGGGGCTCTTCAAAAACAATCCCTTTTGGCTGTTGGCAATAT